TTTTTTTTTAAAAACATGTTAATTGCGGAGTAAATATATGGCCTCGTCTTTTGTTATCCTCGCAGCACGTCAGTCAATATTATTGTGGGGCAAATTAATTGTAATTTTAATTTAATAATAAAAGTAACTTACTAATAATAATAATAATAATAATAATAAATAATAGGCCTAATAAAAATACGAATGCAACAGGCCTACATTAATTGGAAATGCCAAATAGCTTAATATTGCCAACAATTTATGTTTTTGACAGTATCTCTGGCTATCGTCAATACAAGATCATCGTCTTTTGAAGTGACCCAACCCAGCAAGGGGAGGTTATTGCGGGGCCTTTCGCAGTGCGTGTCCTGCGTGCCCATCCACTAACGTTACGCCACTAAGCAGACAGCACGTTGCCTGTTACGTCGTTTGGGCTGCCTTGTTGAGCACAGTGGCACTGAGAACATTATATTTCACACACTTTAAGCTGTTTTATTTTCCAAATGTAATAGGTTTAGTCCAACGAATCGAATAGTTTGGTTTTGTAATGTGTACCGAACCGAAAGCTTCATACTGAATGGTTCAATACGAATTAGTGTATCGTTACATATATACACTGTATATATATATATATATATATATATAAAATATACATATATACTGTACGTGGTTTCTGTAATCAGATGCATAAATGTGTAAAAGAAAAAAGAGCATCATTATAATTATTTAAATTAAAACAAAAATATTGCACGAAAAAAACATTGCAAGTTATTAAACAAATTAAAAAATAGTTTAAAATAGTGTTTTAAATGACCCAAACATAGTCCATAATGTCCTGTTAATACATGTTAAAATTAATATATAAAATATATGAATATTTGGTTACATTTTGAACTAAAATGCTATTTTCATTGTTTTTAGTAAATGGCTGCAATATAACAGAGAAAAATTTAAGGGGGTCTTAATACTTTCCGTTCCCACTGTATATATATATATATAGATATATATAAAATATACATATATACTGTACGTGGTTTCTGTAATCAGATGCATAAATGTGTAAAAGAAAAAAGAGCATCATTATAATTATTTAAATTAAAACAAAAATATTGCACGAAAAAAACATTGCAAGTTATTAAACAAATTTAAAAATAGTTTAAAATAGTGTTTTAAATGACCCAAACATAGTCCATAATGTCCTGATAATACATGTTAAAATTAATATATAAAATATATGAATATTTGGTTACATTTTGAACTAAAATGCTATTTTCATACAGTATATCAAATTCTAGAGTGGAATTGACTAAAATGACAAAATATGTATACACAAACACACATAATATATATATATAAATAATTTGGATATTAATATTTTTGAGTAAAACAAAAAAACGGAATACTCGGGGAGGGGGGGGGGGGGGGTAA